AGTTCAATCTTCTAGAAGCTTCCCCGAAGAGTGGGAACTGCGAAGGATGGAGAACAGGAGGCCCTTCTTTACACAAACGGTGGCAGGTGTTTGGAACAGGCTGCTCAGTCAGGCCCTTGGAACAGGATTCCCTAGTCCTCACTCTCCAAGGTCCTGTGTATGAACCCCGGCCCGCAAGCAGCCCTCTGCCTGTCCCCACAGAGAGGAAGCACAGGTCCACCTGCAGGAACTTGGTGTCTTTATCAGGCTGTGGTTTCTCAGACACAACCCAGGATGACTGAAACCCACCAGCACACACTCTGCCTCAGCTTACTCCACCCCCCCCGCGCTCCTCTCGTCCACGCCCCGTGGGTCTTGATGTTTCCAGTAACCTAAACTCTGCACCTCCCCCTCCACACGCACGCACTCAAACAGGGGCCCTCAGCTCCAGCCAGTCACACTGCCTCTTCCTGGCTGACCCACTGATCCTGATCTGTCAGGGAGTGTGTGTCAGTGATCTGTGACTCTACACTCTCAGCTCTGTGCTGGTGTCTCCATAGCAGGGTCAGTGTGTGTCAGTGATCTGTGACTCTACACTCTCAGCTCTGTGCTGGTGTCTCTATAGCACGATCAGTGTGTGTCTCTGAGATCTGACACTACACACTCTCAGCTCAGTGCTGTTGTCTCTATAGGCTCTATAACAGGTTCTGTATCTGTGTGTCTCACTGTCTGTGTCTTTGATCTGTGACTGCGCTCTCAGTTCTGCGTTCATGTCTCTGTGCTACAGCAGGAGGCAAACCACAGATCGTGTTTCAGAGAACTCCGAGTTCCTGCTGTTGTTCTTCAGTTTTGTTCTGTCAGTCCACAGCACTTCTTAGAATCAGAGCTTCAAACGTCCTTCACTTAAGTCTCTGCTCCGTCAGAGGTAATTGAGAAATAAGGATGCTTTCTGTTGAACAACACATTGTGTTTGTGTTCAATGAACTGATGCTGATGGAGAGGTGGGGCAATAATTATCTTAGTCATAGCAACATCTACAGCTACAGAAACAGCTGCCCTGCCCCCTTTAATAACAAGGGGTAGGGGTACAGAGTGACCCAGACTGGACCAGTGAGCTCTGGACTGTAGGGGTACAGTGTGACCCAGACTGGACCAGCGA